TTTATGCCTTTCCATGCTGGAGTGTTTTTTCTTTTGAATTCTTGAGTTATTAACAGTCCCTTTTCTCAACAAGCTTGGCACTGCGGTTTCCCCTTTATTAGCTTGTATGGGCTGCACCCTACAGACTTTCTCCCAGATGCTTCTTACAGCTTAGCAGTTTCCTCTGAAGTATGAGCCAAGGTTACACAGCTGGGCTGTATCAGAGCTGAGCCCTGCATTCTCAGAACACCAACAGCTGAACTCTTAGATGGAGGTGGGAAGAGGTTGTGGAGTGGGTGGGTTATGTAGTACTTAAAGTATTTTCTCCTCAGTGTACTCTCTTAGGAATGTTTGAGCTACAAAAGGATTTTGATACAGTCAAAATATAGGGTTCTGCAGAATCACATAAGAAACAATTTTAAAATACAGAGTGGTAACTGATAATGGTCAACTTTGTTTTTTAATTTCCTTAGAAATTCTGTTAATGATTTTGCACTAGTTAAATGTGCATGATGTTGGTCTCTGGTAGTGAGGGAAAGCTCGATAAAGGATATGTCAAAGGCATGCTGTTCTCTTTGAGAATTTTTCAGTCAGTATGATGATTGGAAGTTAACAAAGTATCCAGTCATAGTTTTAAGTGTTCATGGTGGAAGTATCGCTGATAAAGTGATTAGGCTGTCAACACAGAATATTTTAGATGAGCGTACATCCAGTTCTATGGAAAATTAATATACTGTCACACCAACAAATTTCTTGGGGTTCAATTTTGACAGTTAAGTAGAATCAGAAAATAGAGCTCTTATTTTTTTTAATTTTGAGCTTGATCCATAAATTTCTCACATGAAAAATTATGTGGATTACAACTTTATAAAAGGCTGCAATACAGTCTGCTTTAGACTAAAAAAAACCCAATTATTACCTTAAAAAAGAAGAAAAGCTGGAGGTGGAAGGAGTGAGAAGGAATTGTCATTGTTGATAGCCTCAGCTAATGGAATTGTTAGTGAGATTTGCTACAGTCTCACAGATAATAAAACTTGCATATCTTGGTTCCTTATCTTGCATATGTATGTGTGTGTCATAGTCTCACAACTTTTGTTCTCAAACCTTATGAATGTCTATTTAGACTTACTGACTTCTGGCCTGTGTGTAAAGAGCTGTGTACAGGTTCTGGAGCATGTAAACATCTTAACTTTCAGTTTGAATTTGAGGTAGGTTCCATTGCAAGCTTGCAGGACATAAGGGAAACAAGTTGTTTAAAACAAAAGTCCGTCAGAGACTGCAAATGGTTTTCTCCCTTAGCCATGAAATTCCTCAGATGCTTCTTTCATGTTACTCTATAAGTAGTGTTTCACAGAGCAGTTTATGATCAGAAGCACTGTGATTCTTAAGCATTTTCTGTATGCTCTGCCCCAGTATATATTCTGCGTTTCCTTCTCTTGTTTTAAAACTACTTGGCTGGAGTGGGAGAGCATGTATCTGAGGGCCCCTGCTAGACCAGGTTCCTGAAAGCTGCATTCAACCTGGCAGTGAACGCTTCCAGGTATTCACTGGATCCTCAACTGGGCAACCAGTTCCAAAGTCTCACCACCCTCACAGGGAAGAATTTTTTCCTAATGTCTAATGTAAACCTCCCCTTTTTCAGCTTCAGCTATTCTCCCGTGTCCTATCACTACATGCCCTTGTCAGAAGTCCCTCTCCAGCTTTCTTGAAGGCCCCCTTTAGAAACTGGAAGCTGCTCTAAGGTCTTCCTGGAGCTTTCTCTTCTCCAGGCTGAGCGACTCCAGGTCTCAGCCTGTCCTTGTATGGGAGGTGCTCTGGCCACCTGATCATCCTCTGTAATTATACCCATGCTCTAGTGTTTTTCATTATTAGAGTAACATAATACTGATAAAGTATTCTTTAAGGCAGTACGATTAAAAACATAGAAACAGTTGTTGGTTTTCTTCCTTCAGAAAGAATGGTTAGAATTCATCTTAAAGATTATTGTTCTTATTTTTTAGGCTATACTGTTGTGCATCCATTTACACCAGCGGGGAAGAATTCAGAACTGCTTTTGGTATGTGATAAGAAGGATCTGGAAAGTTGGCAGAAGCAAAAGCTGCCACTGAGTATTGTAAATAAATTAAAGGAAACCAGCAGAACAGAAATGAATCATATCAGGTACGTAGGAAATGTGAACAGAAGAAATACCAGATCGTCTTTTGGGTAATCTTAGTGACAGTGCTCCTTAGGAGTAAAAACAGAAGTAGTGAGTAGTTCTGCTTTATTTTTAATGTACTATTCTGTAGCATATGAAATTGCTAATCTTTCGCCAGAATGTTTTGCAGAGCACTTGTTGGAGTGCATAGACCTTCCATTCCTCATCTGTACAGCTGTGAACTGGTGATGTAGAGTTAGAGGAGGTGCTCAGTACTTTGAACTGTCAAGCTCTTCAGCAGGAAATGACTGTATTTATATATAAACACTGTTAGAAAGTGTAAGTTAAGTAACAAAGCACTGAAGCTAGGAAAGACCATAATTAAACACGTTCGCTAAGGCTGTATTCAGCCTCATTTTCCACCTTGAACATGTGTTACAGTGTAACTTACTTCAGAGATGAGTAAGCATTTTGTTATGAAGTTCAGAAAGAAACTCCACACCCAGAATGACTAATTCTGTTTCCATTATGTTTTATAACTTCAGAACCAGTACCAGAACACTTAGAACTGGTATAGAAACTTGATACTCCACATCAGTTGCAAAGACACAATAGTAGCTTGTACTCTGTTCACTGACATAACGCTTTGTTGCTGATGGATTTCTTTGGTATTTGCTTAGGAAAGTGAAATTTTGAGTCTGAATTAACTGCTAGGAACAGCCTTGTAACTGGTTCAGTCAGCCAGTCTTAATAATAGATGCTGCTAACATTCCCAAAATTCAGTTAACTTACTAATTTTATTTGAAAATCCACTAGTTTTTGGAAGTGAAGTTGTTAATTCTTCTGTGCATTAACAGGTTGTCATGTCTAGCCCTGTGTTTTGACCTTATTAAAAAATGCGCGACTCTGTATGAGTCTTTACCATCATTCCATGAAATTATGCATCCTGTGAGAATTCTTCTTACACAGCATGTGCCAGTGAATGAATATCCTGAAAAATTGCAGGTATGTGTTCCTCAAGAATTAAATAATTGATATGTTTGATAAATTTGGTGATTTTCATCTGTGCTTGAAGAAACAAAAACCAAGTATAAGCAGTGAGATTTTTCTTCAAGGGTCAGGCATCTGCCTTTTGTGCTCTTCAAAAATCATAGTGATGTTTCTGTAAAAAAAACAGGAGAGCAGAGAATCATAACATCACAGAATGGTTTGGGTTGGAAAGGAATCATAGAATCACAGAATGGTTTGGGTTGGGAAGGACCTTAAGATCATCCAGTTCCAACCCCCTGCCATGGGCAGGGTCACCTCGAACTAGACCATGTCACCCAAGACTGTGCAGCCTGGCCTTGAACACTGCCAGGGATGGACCGTTTACCACTTCTTTGGGCAACCTGTTCCAGTGCCTCACCACGCTCATAGTGAAGAACTTCATCTTTATATCTCACCTGAACTTCCCCTGTTTAAGTTTTAACCCATTACCCCTTGTCCTATTGCTACAGTCAAGGTATTTTTTCATTGTGTATCTTGTCTTGCTCCTCTAATTGAAGAGAACAGCACTTGGCTTGTAATAAAAGTAATATTCTATGAGTGACTTAATTTATAAGAACAGTAGTCGGGTCATGCAGTTGCTCTTGTACTTCTGTAATGAATCTGTAAGATCTTGGTACGGCCAAATGGGTGCATTAAATTGATGAGGTAATCAGAAAACCTAACATAAAGATGCCTAGTCAGCTACCTTGAAATGGGACAATTGTGTATCTTCTAGCAATGAGGTTCCAGTTATTAATCTGTCTCTTCTGAATGTATCAGAATTGTCCTCCTCAAAGAGACATCATAGGTTATCCTTAGAGAACATGTAATGCAAATGATGCAAAATGGCATATATTTTTTGCTATCAAAATAAATAAAATGAACAACAACTCTTAAAATAACCCTGAAAGGCAGCTGGAGTTAGACTGGCTTTAGTCTTGCTTCCTTCTCTGGTAAAGTAAAACTACCTACAAATCTTTCTTATTGTCTGCGATACCATCTTAATAGACTTCCAAAATGTTTAACACTTACCCAGCCCGGGAAGCTTACAGCATTTTAGTGTTAGCAATGTCCTAATGAATAGCAGTGGTTTTACCCTAAAAAAGAACATATGGGGAGAACATTGCTGTTGATTCAATTTACAGTAGTTTGTGTCTTTGATATGCTTTTAAAATTGGAATTTGATTTGCATTTTCAGGAATGGTACCACAGTGCTCTGAAAGAGCTGGAGAGCAAAGTAAAACACTACACCCCACTGATATGTGAGAAAAGGAAGCCAGTGCCATTGAAACAGTATACACCTAGAATTATGAAAGTGTAAGTAAAGCAACACTTGGTGCAAAGGGAAGGTGTGTTTAAATGTTAAGACTTTCAGCAAGCTCGAAGGATTTGAAAAAGAGGACATGAAACAGATAACTGTTTTTTTTTTCCACTAAATTTTCGTGCACAGATCTCAAGGGAACAGCTATTTGGGTGATAGGGAGGGAAAGAAAAAGCAAGTACACATTTATCCCTGAGTAACTGATCAGACTCTTTCTGTGGAATTCATCTGCAGGGGTCAAAAATAACCTTGAAATATATTGGGTGATTCCAGTTTTCTCCAGTCATCTTTCATTTTTCTATTGTAGCTTTTTTAGTTTCTTCAAAATACAAGGTCCATAGGGTGATTGAAGTGTAAATGTTGTGTGCTTGACCTTTGCATGATGGTGACATGCAGTTAGAAGGTCTGGTGAGTGTTTTTCAATATGATCATTGGGCAGCTCCTTATTTTTGCAAGTTAATGCTGTCATATGCGGGAATTAAAATGCTGAGCTAGCATTCATAGGGAGCTCCTTTAAAACATGAGAAAGTTGGGTTTGTTAAGGTGTTTTGTGCTCACACATATGTTCTCTTTTCAGTTTGGAGTTTGGAAGAAAGCAGGGAAGCAGCAAGCAGGAGCAAGAAAGAAAGCAGTTGATTCACAAGCATAAACGTGAACTGAAAGGAGCCATTCGTGAGATTCGGAAAGATAATCAGTTTCTGGCTAGAATGCAGCTCTCAGAAATCATGGAGAGGTAATGAAGCCTTTGTTCCAGCACCAGTTTGGAGGTTCTGCTCTGTGTTCATTTCTTTGCTGTGTGCCAAGACAATAACAATCAACCATACTGAAATAAATACAGTCGGACAATTTGGGGAAAACAAGCATTTTCAATAGTTATGGTTTAAAGAGTTTTCAACTTCACGGTTTCATTTCTCTAGTTTAAGAATATACAGGTGTTTTTTTAATGTTTTTATTGAAAAGTGTGTGGGAGTGAAATTTACAAGTTGGGGGGCTTTTTATAATTACACTTGTTTTCCCTAATACAATCTTTCTGAAATATTTTATATGTTGATTGTTTTGCAGAGATGCAGCCAGAAAAAGAAAAGTGAAAGAACTTCTTGGTAGCCTTTCTACACAGGAAGGTGAATGGAAAGCATTGAAAAGGAAAAAAGGGAAGAATTAATTGGGACTACAGCAGGAAACTGGTTTTACTGCCATATGAAATAGCCCAATCCTGTGGCTTTTGAACAGATTTTAATTGCATTCTTTGGATGCGTTCCTTTTGAGGAGACAACATCATCAGATCTGTTTGAAAAAGTGAACCTGCGTGTTGGAAATATCTACAGGTTTTCATAAGGAAAATAAAATATCACTTTTGTATGTGGTATACTTCTGTTTATTTTAATAATAGAGAATATTTTGATGAATAATCAAAATTGAGGTGTGTGAGACCAGGTTTTAGTCTAACTTGAATTACATACTCACACAAAGTTGTACAGCAGAAACCTTTTATTATTATTTTTTTTTAATACTGGACAACTGCAGGCAGCTCTCACAGTGGTATATTTGCAGTTTAAGCAGTTATGTTTTAATTAGTCTGTGGCATTAGGACATTCTAATTCATGTATTCATTGGAGTAATGGAACTGGCTTCCAAGTTGAAGTCCTTTGTTAAAGCTGTAGGTCCATTCATCTCTTCAGTAAGTTTTGAATTGAGCACAGCTCTGGAATTCTTAATATATAATTAAGAATTAATAATCTATTATTATTAATAATAGGGTGATTAACTAGGATTCCTCAGTGTATTCATAGCTGTCTGAAGTGGACAGGGAAATCCTGTCAGTAAATCTAATTTAACAGGTAGGCCTGTTGTTTCAGACTGGCTTAAGATGTTGTCTTTGTTCTGTTTGTTTTCAAATGAGACTTGAATGGAATGGAAGCAGTACTAAAACTAGGAGGGGATGAGTTGAAACATTTAAGGCTTTACATTGAAACTAATGACAAAACCGTCTTTGGAAGTTAAGTCTTGTTAAAGGTTTGTCTATGTATGTTCTTAAGAGAAATGTGCTTTATTTGAAGGGGTTTTATTGAATCTTAATGTGCTAGTAGCAGTGAAAGTAATGTGTGATTATTTTCAGCATTTTTTGCTTGCAAAACCAGTTGTATTGAGTGTTAAAATAGGCTGGATACTAAACGCACATTGGGGACATACTCATGTCACATAAAAGTTAGTAAGACTGAAGTAAAACCATTCACACTTCTGAAAAGAAATCAATTTTAAGTTAACCTTTGCAAAATCAGTAACTGGAATTCCAAAATCTGAAACTTGAAAGGTATCTCAGAAAGTTAGTTATACCTCCTGGTTTATTTCCATTTGACACAGTGTGGACTTTTTACTTAAAAAATATATATATAAAAAAAAAAAACCCAAACAAAACTTTTTATACATTCAAGCCAAGAACTTAAGACTGCAATAATGAGGAAGGAGCAACTTCCTATTTCATGCTATAAATCAGCACTTTCAGTTCAAGGTTTTAGCCCCAGTATTATTTCTCCTTTGCACAAATAAACTGTCAAAAAAAATAGTATTGTTTATTTATCTGACTTTATTTTTCCAATAGCAAGTAGCTTCAGAGGATTTACCCAGCAGGGTATTAAAATCACAGAGAGGCTGACAGCTACACTTTGATCCTGGGGCAGTGATTTTTGATACCACTTGCGGCTGCTTGTTACTCCTCAGTAAGGGACGTAAGAGAAATATAAGGGAGAGACACAAGTAAAATGGGATGATAGTGTTTGAGGGACAACAGGATGAACAGGAATATTTTGCAATGCTGATGAAAAAGAAAAAGGACAGGGAAACTTAACATACCTGTTTTGGGATGCCAGACTGAAAATCATGTTTCAAATCATGTGGAATGAAAGTTGCTGCATGCCCTTGTATAAATTGAATGAAATTTGCTGCATGCACTTGTATAAATTGTATTGTCAATACTTAAAATCAGATCTAATATTATAAGCCCGGTACTAATGGCGATGCGTAACACAGAGTATTTAACATGACTGGGAAAGCAGGACTACCTATAATAATAATCACTATGGTCCAATAGTTCTGTTATTGCTTAACTACCATAGTAGCTAGGCAGTGGTGGTGCTCTCATGTTGTGGTAGGAAGGTCTGAACATTTGGACTGCAAAGGGTTTTGAGCTTAGAGTCAGCAAACTCTTTCTCATAGAGTTTCTTAAACACAATCATATTCATTATTATTCTCTTGTCTCTGTTGCTCTTAAACCAGAAATTGTTGTAACAGGCCTTTTGACACAGCTGTTAGCAATTATAAATCTGTTGTTACTTAGTGAAAAAGAAACTATTCTGTAACTAAATCAAGCCATCAGACACCAGAAAAGAGAAATTACTGGTTTGTGTTTAGTTCAGGTAATTACCTGTCAACTTCAGCTGTCCCAGAGAATAGCTATCCTGAATATAAATACTGTAAAGAATAGGGTAACAATAAAACTGTTCACCTAGAAATTGCATAAATTATTTATGACAGCATGAAAAGCTTCCTTGTTTGTTGGGTTTTCTGGTTGTCAGCTGAAAGCTGGTGTGAAGTGTGATATTCTGTCATGCCTTGCAGAAGTTAATCACCTACCGTGGTGTAACCATATTCTGTGTAAGCCATCTCTCTTTGCCATCAGCTTCTGCTACATGGAGGTCCTGAGGCTGCTCCTGAGCTCAGCAGGTGGGGTTTGGTGTGAAGCAGAAACAGAGCTCTGCTGGGCAGAGGCTGGTGTTCCTAATAGGCAGCTTGTTCAGCCGTGGAACCTTGCAGGGCTGATTTCCTCCTAGCATGTTTTCTGGGCATTTGGAAAAGATAAGCTGAGACATAAAACATTTGGTAGCTTTATCATAACTTTGGGACTGTGAGTTGTTATATATTGAAGGGGCCAAACCTTCCCAGAAATGGGCTGCTTTTGGTCTCTGAGTTTGTCACCTAAGCTAAGTGGGTACATTCTCAGCCCTAAATGTGTTGACTGTACCATCTTCCATAGTTAAAATGATTGGTTATTTGTAATGGGTTACTTGAATAAAAACCCAAGACATAAAAAAATCAGTATTAATAGATGTAGTCTAAACCAAACCTCTAAGTTACTATACTGTTTATAAAACCTGCAAGGTTTTGGGCTGGTCTTCCACAGGGATGGGGTAGGCAGTGACCTATCTGTCTAGTTTTAGAAGCAGTGCAGTGTGTTTACATGCAGGACTCTTATGACATGCTTGACTGCAGTAACAGCTCAGCTCAGGGATCTGCAAAAGCCTTAGGGTGGTGGGTTTAACAACAGGAAGAGCTGGATTTTTTTTTATTATTTTTTTTTTTATTTTTTTGTAAATGCATCTTGATTCAGATTGTGCCTGGTCAGTTACACATGTTAATTCAGAGCCACAAGAATATACCTGCATATATGTTCCAAACATTAAATGGAGCACCTCAAAGCAGAAGTTTGCTTCTGAGTCAGCAACAATCCTTGCGTAATGGTTTGGTTTTCAGAGTATGTGCCATACCTACCAAGTTCCTTTTCTCAGACCAAACTAAGGACATAAAATGCTTGGGTAATGTAAGAGTAGCAGCTCACTATTTGATCTAACTGGCACGTTAATCCTGATGTTACATTAGATAAGCTCCTTCGGAATGCCTGACAGAGATGTCACTGGGGAGTGACAGGTCCTCGTGTGAGAGCTGGTAACTATAAATCCACGCTACCGATGGCATGGCATTACTTGGAAGGGAACCAGAAGTGCTTTCAACACCTGTATTCCTTTGTTTTGAACACTTTGTTGGCAGATCCTTGTGCATTTAAGACTACGAAGATACATGTGCTTAGCCCACTTGTAACCGTATACCATATTTTAATGAGGCAGCTTGGATACGACATGGCCAGACAAATGAACCACGCTGGACAGTGCTCTCAATATCAAGTCTTTCCATGTTCTCTATGCTAAAATAATTACTGTTTTAAGGGAGCAGTTTTATTGCATCTTTTGCAACTACCTTTCTCTGTCAGATTCCAGGAAATACCAATTTATCAAGCCTACACCGGAACGTAGCTATGTAGCAGCTAACAAAATAAGAGACCTCTCTTCTGAGAACGGATTTTTCACTAAACCAGATTTTTCACTAAAATAGTCTTTAGCGCTAGAAGGAGCGCTGGTCTGAGGTAGAAGATACCCAGTTAAAGTACTGATGCATGAGGAGCGGGGCCCTGGTGACGAGGCACGTCTCTCAGCCTGGGTTTTATGTCCCCTCAGCCCCGAGCAGCGGCGGCTTCCCGCCTTGCTGAGGGCAGTCCGCCCTACGAGGGGACGGCAGCGGGCCCAGGGGCTCGCTCCTCGGCGGCGAGGCGCGGCGCGGGCCAGGGGGAGCGGCACCATCCCGGCCGGAAGAGGAAGGCCCCCGGTGCGCTGGGGAGGAGCCGCCACCGCCCGCCCGCAGCATCCCCAGGGACAGCTTCTTGGCAGGCGGCAGGGACCCGCCCGCTCACTGTTGCGGGCCCGGCCCCCGGAGGAGCGGTAGGTGGCCTGCGGCGGAGAGAGGGGAGCGAGCGGGCCGGGCCCCGGGGCTGGGCTGGGCTGGGCACCGCTCTCCTCGGCAGGGCTACGGGGACCCCGGGGCGCTGCCGGGCGGCGGCGGAGGGTGCCTTGTGTGGGTCACGGCGGGTCCTCGTCGCGGACTCCGCTGCTCTCCAGGGCCGACTCTTTCCCTCTCGACGGCCCCTCTGCCCTCGGGCTTTGGCTGCTCTGGGAAATTGCCTTTTATTTTATCGTCTTTTATGCTTTTTTTCTTCCCAATTGAAACTCGTGCTCTTGACCCGAATCAGGACTTTGGTAAGGAGCCGGCGGAGCCTTCTCAAGGTTTAGCAAGTAAAGCCAGGCCTAGGAAATTCCAGAGTGCGGGACAGGGTGGTAGGAAAGCATCAGAAGAATGGAACTCTTCTTGCTGGGAGATGACAAATCTGTGTCTGTGCACTAGGGCAGGGCCAGCTTTGTTGCTGAGCCCTTCCCGAGAGATACAGCATCAAAACCCAGCATCAAACCCAGCTGGTCAAAGGCAGAAGTGATGAGACACATCCTGAAGGGGATGGCTGGGAAGAACCAGGGTAGAACCAAGTGAGAATCAGGGACACAGGTGTCCATACAAACGACTCCCTTAAACTGAAAATCCTCCCCCCTCTTCAAACATGCCTCATAGAAATCGAATGTCATGGTAGAGCTGAAGTGTTTTGTTTTTGCTGACAGGGTGCCAGGGCCTATAAAATGTTTGGTGGTTTCCTGCCTAGCATAAAATATGGAGAGGTTTGAACAACAGAACTGATGGAGCACAAAGGCAGAAACATGTAGTACCTTGGGATATTGCGTAAGGGAAATTGCAACCACATAGCCAAAAGTGGAGCTAAATGAAAGGTCAGTGCTAGCATCAGTAGGTTCAAGCTGCACGCTAGCTGAAATGGCCATGAGGGTAAGGTGTAAAGGATGTTACCCTGCATAAATAGCCCTGTAATAAAGTTCAGCTTGGTCCTATAATTCAGTGGATGAATAAACAAATTGTGAGGAAAAGTGAGATACAGTCTGAAACGATGAACCCATCCCTCAACGCTTAGACCTAAGGAGAATTTGACGAAAAGAATGGTTGGGTTTGGCTCCAGATGCTCTTATATCACTTGAGTAAACAAATAATGCTAAATATTTATAGCAGTGATGACTTGCCATTTCATATAAAAGAATCCTGCACGTAACCAAGCTGCGCTGTTCACTAGCAGATTTAAGAGCATTATGGCAGGAGTTTAATAAATGGATTGCAGGTGTGTCCCCTTCCATGTTTACCTCATGATGTTGAACTTTAATAAGGCTTCAGTGCTAGTAAACAGAATTGACAGTAAAGAAATATCACAATAATATTTATTCCTGAGCATAACAAAGTATTGTGATCTTCAATTAGTGTAATACGGTGTTAAATACACAATTACCTGTGTAGGTAATAATTTATATCAAGAATTGCTCAGTGGTTTCAATCCCGAGTCATCAAAGTCAATGGATATTTTGTCATTGGTTGACTTTGTTAGAGGAAATTCTGTCTCATTTTTTACCCCTATAGTGTAGCTGATGTTCAGGGTTTGGTTTTTTTTGCAATAAAAAGGACTGCAAATTTGATTGCTTTGTGACTGAGACTCTGTAATGTTTTACAGTTCTGAACTTTGTAGTTTCATAGTTTGTGTATTACTCCTTGATTTTGATACTTGTTGAAACTGAGATTTTTTTTTTTCAGGATATGGGCTGGTTTCTTTGATAAATAGTGAATGTGATATGGCCTAAATCCTTGTTTAAGACTTTTAAGGCAGTTTTGGAGTATTATCAAAAAAAAGCTGGGGGTTCTGATATTTCTGACTAATTAAAAATGCTGCCTTAATCATTTGATGCCCCAATTTTTTTAATTGTTATTGCTTTAGTCATTTCTAGTATACACTGAAGGCATAAAAAAACCCTATTAGTTACTTGAATGCAGCTACCAAAAACAAGAGTGCCCCTTCTTATTTATTTTAGTGTAATGCTGAGTTGAAAGCATTTAGGAAAGTTGTACTAGCATTGCTCATGTGTTAACCACCTCTAAATGCTCCTTACTTCTGTGTTTTACTTGGGATGCACCTGTAATAGAGTTTATCTTATTGCCCTCATAGTCTGTTCTTGAGGTGAGCAGATTTGGTGCTGAGCTAATAACCAAGGCTAGAGAGAGGAGGTTCCTGTTCCCTTGAAAAGCAGGTAGCTTAATATAGCCATAGCTTATATTTATTTTTGTGAAGTCTGTAGCAAGTGAGAATGAATTAGCAAGATACTCTTAAGAAAAGGCTGCAAAAAGCTTCCTACTGACTGGTTGTAAATGGAATTTTTTAGAAGCAGAGCACCTGGGAACATGGCCCCACAAGAGAGAGGAACCATCAACAGCTCCATCAGTGACAAGCAAGAACATAACTCTAGTCGTGTTATTGCAATTGTTTTCCTGGCACTCTTCATTGACTTGTTGGGATTTGCTCTCATCTTGCCACTGTTTCCTTCCATCCTTGATTATTACAGCCAGACTGAGGTAAGCAACAGAGAAAGAAAGTCAGCCTGCTGAAAATGTTAGCTGTGAGATATTTAGGGAAGGATGGGAGAAAAATCACTTGCCTTGGAGCAAAGTGATTAGCTTTAGGCATTAGCTTTCATCATTAGCTGTAGGCAGAATAATATCCAGTACTTTTAAATGGTTTCATGGACTGCATTTGTGACCCTGAATGAGACTCTTCTCTCTTTCATTAAAATGAGGGAGCTGTTTGGGAGAATATTCAGGTACTTCTTAGGAGCTAGTCCTTGTAATTACTAGTGCATTTGTGACTTGCACTAATGTTACTGCTGAAACAGAGTAAATGATAATCTGTAAAGGACGGTTTAGTTTGAGGTGTCCCTGCCTGTGGCAGAGGGGTTGGAACTAGATGATCTTAAGGTCCTTTTCAACCCTAACTATTCTATGATTCATACCAGGGTTTATCTAAGAACCAAAGAGATGAGAGCTTTAACCCTACTTGAGTATTTCACATACTCACTTGCTTCCACCTCAGCACCATGTTCACTATGTCTCAACTTCCATTCTTAGCAGGGAGCTGGCTGCTGCTCTGGGAACACAGGGAAGAAAGTAGTGTTGGTTACTGGCTGTGCAGATGCTTTCAGTTACCATTCTCAGGTGTTATTGGACAAAATCCTGTCATGGGAGAATTATTTTTCTAGCCCACACCTCCATCTTGTAGTTAGAAAAACCCCACTCCAAATGCAGCTGTAGGCTTTGTGTTTCTTACAACCCTGTCTCTAATCCTAACCATGGGCTCTGATCTTCAGGATTTTCTTCCACTTCCAGTGTATTTCCTATAGCAAAGACCTTCTCAGGGTCCCCTTCTTTTCAAGTCCTCCTCCTCTTTTCAGGAACCATTCTTTTTCACACCTTTCTGGACCTACATGCCCCTGCTTCTTCCAGGCTAAACAGGCTTATGTACAGAGAGATACAGTATGTCTCATGTTGCCTTTTTGATTGAAAGATTCAGGACGTGCCACTTCGTTTAGTTCAGGATTTAGCAAGTATGCTTTAAAAGAGTTCAAATTCAGATATTCCCCCACCCAGATTAACTGCTGCCTCTTAGCATTCACAATTTCAGCTATTTTTAGTGTATGACAACTAATCAGTGAGGAAATCTTCCCTGGGAGGAGGAAGAGGGAAGGAATCATCTGACACTGCCTTTAGTTCACTAAGCTCTGATGCTTTCTTTGAAAATAAAACACAGAAGCTGTCTTCTTGCTTCTATTCCCCAGTTATCTATTTTGCAGGATGGATTCTACTTGTCATTGCAACGTGGTGTGGACTGGTTTGCAGTGATGGCTGGGATACCTCCAGAGCGTAAATACAACAGTGTCTTATTTGGAGGTATGGAGATTAAACAAGCTAACAGACCAAAACTAAAAAACAAAGGGAAAAATAAAGTGTTATGAGGAATGAGGAAAATGCCAAGAAATACAAAAAACATACTTGCCTGTTATTATATTTAGATTTAAATAACACAGAAAATGTCTCTTACAGTAGGCTATAAATGGTTTTTGTTTTCATCGCACTGATAGCAACAAAGAGTTGGACAGCCCCATCTCTGTCATTTGGAGACACTTAAAGGCAGGAGGAATGGGACAACAGGAATGTTATGAAATTCGGTGAGGACACATGTGAAGTCCTGCCTGTGGGAAAGAGTAGTCCCTTGAAATGATGCAGACTGAGCAGAAAGGTTTTGAAGTCTCCATCCTCAGAAGTTGTTAAACTCTGACTGGATGAAACCCTGAATAATCTGGTCTGATCTCACAGCTGACCCTACAAGCAGGCAGTTGGAATAAGTGACCTCCAGAAGTCCCTTTTAATCTGAATTATCCTATGATCTTGCCAATTTGTTCTACAGCTGTTACAGAATACAGGCCTGCAGCTGAGGGTCAGGAGCCTGCTGTGCTAGGCACAGAAATTACTCTCTTCAGAACTGATCTACACATGATTGGAGTTCAGTCAGTGGGAAACAGTGGAAATAGAAGCTTGTGAGTTCAAGTCTCACCTTCCCCTTGGGCAGCTGTAGTGCAGCACTGCTTCTAAATCTCATTAGTCCTATTAAAAGCAGCAGAGCTGCTGACTTGCAGGGTCCAGATGCATTTGAAGTCACTAGGATGCTGGTGTGAGTGAGCTCTAGCGTGAGTAGTGCAGGAAATCCAGCAGCATGTACATTTGTGTTACACATCAGAGGCTCTTTGGCTCCTTGCTATGTAGACAGTTGTGAGGAAACTAGGATTTCAGAGTATGTCTGGGTTAATTTTAGTTGTTTATAAATTTTCTGTTATACCCAAATAGACTACTGAGCAGTAACAATGCATTCACATTTATATTCTAATAAAGCTTTTTGGTTGGGTTTTATTTTTTAGTTTAAAAGCCTTTTTCTTATCTGAGGGAGGCCTCAGCTCACTAAAAGGAGGGGCACATCTGGGTGTTTTTACAGTGCCAGAAATACAAAGAACAAAACTTGTCTCATTAAAATAAACTGCCAGGGTACCAGTCTGTAAGACTTTTTTCTACAGCTTTTTGAGCTATCATAGGCTGTTTTCCACAAGGTGTTCAGTATCAATATTCTGCCTCCCTCAAAACTGATGTGAGCAGAACTTCTGGTCTCTCTCTCCTCTGCCTGTTAAAGCTTTGATAGCTGAATGAGCTGAGACAGATAACCCAGTTTTTCCTTTAGACAGTGACAGCAAGGCTTTTTATTATGCCTGCTTGTTGAGAGTGTACTGCAGATTAATAAGTGTATGAAGCTAGAAATGGCAAGAGAAAAGAGGAAATAAAGATCACAGAAGCTGGAGGCAGATTTCAAAAGACTCTTGGGAGCCTGGAATCAGTCCTACTTCTTAGGGTGCCTCACTAAGAGCAGTGCTTATGCCCTTTTCATGATAAGAAGGAAAGAAAAACTAAATAAATGTGACAGAATCAGGTTTAAACAATAAAAAAAAGAAAATCTAAAAGCACTGTGACTATTAAAAACTGTGTTATTTCTGCTCTAAGAATAGAAAATGTACATAGTCAGCCAGGAATGCATTGGAGAATCAGCATTCCATTATAACCAGTGAGTTTCAAACCTCTTCTCACCAATGAAGTAACCAGTGGATCATCCAGTTCATACCTGTTTCTCTGCTCTGACTGTGTATCTGCTCTGTCTGTGTGTGCCGCCTCAGTTAATAACAATACCAGATCTGTGTTTTAAAGGTAGCTTAGTTTCAGAGACAAAGCTTCTTTGTAGCTATTGTTTTACATTTAAGAGCATGATGTTAAAGTGGTGCGATAGGTCTAGAACAGGTTGCCTGTGTTTGTATTCAAGATGAAGGCTGCAAATCTAATGTTGTATGTATTTCTGTTTGATTTAGGTCTGATTGGCTCAATCTTTTCCATCCTACAGTTTTTCTCCTCTCCCCTCACTGGTGCTATGTCGGACTGCTTGGGGAGGAGACCTGTCATCTTGATGACAATGGTATGTGTCACTTGCTGATTTTAGTCATGCTGTCTCAATACACAATTGAAGGCACTAGGATCTTGGGGTTAGCACAAAGGACTGGGAAACTGAATGTTCCAGATCTCTTGGTTGTTGACTGCTTTTTGCCAAGTCACTTGGCCACATTTACAGATCCAAGTGCTTAAGCTGAGTTTCCCAGAACCAGAATTGTACATAGAGGGCACCAAAATACCTGTCTGTTTCTGGGATTTTTCCAAAATCCCTTTCGCTTGTGTACAGCAGATACAATAGATACTACTATAGATACAATAGATATTAATAGATATTAATATTGGACTTAATCCCTGTAAATTTTAGTTCCCTGAGTGAGTAATGAGGGTTGATCACTTGATGACCTGTTTCACAGAGCCTGGGGATTATTGGTTAGGGAGTGCTATATAGCAGTGTAAGATTTATTTCTTAGGAACATTCTTCAAAATGTTTTCTCTGTTACTGGTCAGAGTATGGATTTCTAATTACAGAAGCACTGCAGAGCAGGTGCATACATACGTGGTGGAATTCGGCAGTGAATTATACACAGTTCCCCTTATTGTGTATCCTGGAGAGTGAATTCAATAAGCATGTGTGTGTATGATTGATTATGAAATTTAAGGGCTAGAACTGTGAATTCTTCTTACTTTGAACTCAGAATTCTCTTGATGTTGGAAACAAATGGAGTGGGATGTACAAAAGTGGTTTTGTGCCTGGGACTTATTTAGCTCTCTCTGAGCTCTTCTAATTTTGTCAGTAATCAAACATCTATATAAAATTTGTTTCTACTTCTTGTGTATCACTGTCTAGGATGTAGTACAGTTAATCAGTATATTCAGACATTTCTGTTATGTGGGTTTTGGAACACTTGTTGAAAACAAACAAAATGTTTGGGAAATGTGCAGAAATGATACAACTTTGCTCTGCTTTATAAAGAACCTTTTCTTGCTTCTGCAGATAGGTTTGATAACATCATACTCACTATGGGCTGCCTCTAGGACTTTTGGCGTTTTTCTTCTCTCCAGGATCATAGGTGGAATAAGCAAAGGGAATGTAAGCCTCTCCACAGCTATAGTTGCTGACTTGCACTCTCCAAAAGCACGGAGCAAGGGCATGGTGAGTTACATGTGAAGTACATGTTTGGGTTTACTAGGACACTTTTAATTGATTCAGGTGCTCAGAATGTCTTCCTCAGATATGAATGCACTGATCAAGTGAAAACATGACTTCAGATGCTACCTTGCTTCTGAAAAGATGCCATATTGTTCTGCTGGTGAGCTCTCAGACTTGACCTGTCAGTAACTTTCACCTACTAGTGAAGCACAGATGCCCTAGAGGTGGAGAAATTATCTGTCTATTATAACTGTACTCCTGCTGATAACTTTAATCCTGATTATAAAAACTTAGAAATTAAAAGATCTTATGGCCCAGTTTTGGTAGCTGCAACTCAGTTACAGGACAACCCATTTTTCTCACCTTCCCAAACTGTGAAAGTGCAGCAGTGCTGCACTGCACAACACGCCTCTGACTTCCCCAGATGCTGCACTGGCTCCAGGATCTGAGCTCAGCAGGTAAAGGCTGTGGCATTTGGCTGACTGAGCAGCAAGCAGTATGAGCTGCTCCCTTGGCCTCTTCCAGAAGACAGTCACCCAGCTGGAAACACCCTGCAGGCTGCACTTAGTCTGTGAATTACCAGTTAGATCTTTTGTCTTACAAAAACTTTGGGGGCCCAAACTTCTCTTAGCAGCTTGTTATAAGCAAAAGTGTGGGATAGCTGCTTCTTAGGAGGGGAAAGCTTTAGGTTTCACAGTGATAACTAATGAATTTTCCAAACAATTTATTATGGTCCTGGTGAGCCAAAATACACTTTTATTTGTGTAGAGGGTTAGCCAAAGAGCATTAGTAAATAAAATGGGTCAGAGCCTAATTTTAGGGCCTGAGAGCAAATCACTACAGCGTGGCTCACATCCATGGTTTATACTCTTTTATTTTCCAAAGCAGAGTAGGCATGTTCATTCTGCTTTCTGGGAAGAGACTAGCATCTGATTGATGCTATTCCCAAACTGTTATGGGCGGTTGCCTGAGAGAGTGCTAGCTGGGTAGGCTGGAACAACACTGCAGACTAAGGTGACACAGGAGCATGCCCTGGCCTTGTTTAGTTTAGTACTACAGATATAGTTAAATAGACTCAGGAAAGCCAGAGGATTATGTCCTGGGATGGCACATGTTTGAGTCCTGTGTATGCAAGTATACCTCTTTGATTGCCTCCTAAAAGACAATGAGTCAATGAGCCAGATCCTGCCCTGTTTCATTCTTAAGCAGTTTCACTGACCTGCTGGCTCAAATCAGTGCTCTTTCAAGCTCCCATCCACTGCATACAGATTCTACCTCTTTACCTATGTGCTGGTTTTGTAGTGAGTTAAATCCTCCTTAGTACCTTCACTAAACTCAGGTTGCTCTGGGAAGCCTCTCAGCCTGTGTGCTCTATGAAGCATAAATTCTTAAATACAGAAATTGCTGAAGCAGTTTAGGAACTATAGACATCATTATGGTTTCCAGCCATGGCACTGTCTTCCCTCCTCCAGTTTTACACTACAAAAGTTTATCCTATGGCTGAGCAGTTCCTCAGGTGAGAATCATTATCTCCCTTCCCAACTTCCTTTCAGTTTGGCATTTGTTCCTGTCACTTTCCCAACTGGACAGAAAAGAGAATTGTTTTTTTTGGAAATAACAGGTTTTTCACACTTAATGCCCTTTGCTGTGCACTCTCTACATCCTCAGGGAGGTTTTGTATCTGGTTGCATTTCTTTAAGGCAAATGCCAGGAAATCCAAACCATTTTAGGACTGAGCTACCTGAACAAACTGGTGTCTAAAGCTTACATGTCTGTGTTCATTGTGTCACTGCAGGCAATGATTGGTGTTGCTTTCTCCCTTGGTTTTACCCTGGGTCCCATGATCGGAGCTTACCTGGTGATGGAGACAGAGAAAGGAGAAGTATTCTATCTCCGTTCAGCGTTGGTAGCACTCATGTTTGCTGTGGCTGATTTAATTTTCATCTTCTTCCTGCTTCCGGAGACACTTCCCAAAGAAAACCGGGTAAATGGACTGTCAATGTGGAGATGTGTGTTTCTGGCAAATACAGTGTTTGAGAACTGTTGTAATACTGGAAACAATGAAGAGACTTAGCCAGTGACTCAGGAATTTAGCTTATTCCCAGGAGCAGGATTAAATACTGGATGGCGTCACAGTTGCTGCATGATGGTCCCAATCTCCTAGCTCCTAGTAATACATGAGAAATTCTTTAGAGCTAATGTGACTGCGTAGTTGCTAGTTTTGGTGTGTTTAAATTTATCAAAACCTAATGGGAACATGGAAGGGAGAGGGGAATTTTAAACTATGATCACAGTGACTCTCTGGGGAGGAATTTCTGCTTATCATAAGAGTAAATGCATCAGAGACTGGGTTTGCTTTCATTTAGCTGGTTATATAGAAGAAATTCTCTTAACCATTTTCCTGGCTTTGCTTGAGTATCTTGAACACTGAAGTAGCAAATGACTGAGCTCTGAGCTGTGCTGCCTTCTGCAGATACAAAATACCTACACATGCTAAAATGCAGTGAGTTTGCATTTGTGGGGCCAAACATTAACTTATAATTTAATACTGTGTGATCAGACACTGTCCAAGATACCTGATTGAAAGCTGCTTGGAACAGTTCCTTTGTAGTGTGGGAGAGGCTGAATTCAGCCCTCAGTATCTGGGTGAAACACTTGATTTAAGGTTCTCAGCTGGATTGTAGCTTTCCTGTCATCCCTCATTTCTAAGCAGCAATTTGTTCTGGAAACTTCTGTTTGCAATACTTCTACCAGGGCAAAACATTAGACCTTCCCTGATCATTTCCCGGCAGGTTGTGTCCCATGAAATCAGTTGCTCATGTTATGTTCCCAAGCACTACAGCTCTTTTATTCTTTTTCCTTTAACAGCTCTTCCATGCGTCATCTGTTCCCTTTTCCTATTTGGCTGTTTCTAAACATTCGAGATCAAATCCTGTTCTTAGCTAGAGCTGCACGCTGGGGTGGTGGCAACATGTTGATGTAAGGAAGTGCTGTAGAGCTAATCTGTATTCTATAAACAGTTCCACTTGTAGAAGGATAAAGCCTTTTAGGACTGTATGATGACTGCCTCCCCTTTTTACTGTCTTCTTGAGAGTCTGCTAAGCTAGTCTGTGTTAGCCAACAGGACTGAGTTTTGATAAGAAAATGAGTGCTCTGTCCCTGCTATTTGGGCCCTGTCTCTGTGCAGCAGTGGGTATTGCATAGAATCATAGAATAGTTAGGGTTGGAAAGGACCTTAAGATCATCTAGTTCCAACCCCCCTGCCCTGGGCAGGGACAACTCCCACTAAACCATGTCACCCAAGGCTCTCTCCAACCTTGGCCTTGAACACCGCGAGGGATGGAGCATTCACAACTTCCTTGGGCAACCCATTCCAGTGCTTCACCACCCTAACAGGAAAGAATTTCTTCCTTATATCCAATCTAAACTTCCCCTGTGTAAGTTTAAACCCATTACCCCTTAACCTGTCACTACAGTCCCTAATGAATAGTCCCTCCCCAGCACCCTTATAAGCTCCCTTCAGATACTGGGAAGCTGCTCTGAGGTCTCCATGCAGCCTTCTCTTCTCCAGGCTGAACAGCCCCAACTTCCTCAGCCTCTCTTCATACGGGAGGTGCTCCAATCCCCTGATCATCCTCGTGGCCCTTCTCTGGACTTGTTCCAGCAGTTCCATGTCCTTTTTATGTTGAGGACACCAGAACTGCACACAATACTCCAAGTGAGATCTCACAAGAGCAGAGAAGAGGGGCAGGATCAGCTCCTTTGACCTGCTGGTCACGCTCCTTTTGATGCAGCCCAGGATACGGGTGGCTTTCTGGGCTGCAAGCGCACACTGAAGCTGGCTCATGTTCATTTTCTCATCAACCAACACCCCCAAGTCCTTCTCCGCAGGGCTGCTCTGAATCTCTTCTCTGCCCAACCTGTAGCTGTGCCTGGGATTGCTCCGACCCAGGTGTAGGACCTTGCACTTGGCATGGTTAAACCTCATGAGGCTGGCATCAGCCCACCTCACAAGCGTGTCAAGGTCCCTCTGGATGGCATTCCTCCCTCCAGGGTATCAATGGAGCCACACAGCTTGGTGTCATCAGTAAACTTGCTGAGGGCGCACTCAATCCCACTGTCCATGTCAGCGACAAAGATGTTGAACAAGACCGGTCCCAACACCGATCCCTGAGGGACACCACTCGTTACTGGTCTCCAGCTGGACACTGAGCCATTGACCACAACTCTTTGTGTGCGGCCATCCAGCCAGTTCTTTACCCACCGAGTGGTCCACCCATCAAATTGATGTCTCTCCAATTTAGAGACCAGGATGTCGTGTGGGACAGTGTCGAACGCTTTACACAAGTCCAGGTAGATGATACCAGCTGCTCTACCCCTGTCCATCAGTTCCATAGCCCCATCATAGAAGGCCACCAAATTGGTCAGGCAGGATTTCCCCTTAGTGAAGCCATGCTGGCTGTCACCAAGCACCTTGTTGATTTTCATGTGCCTTAGCATGCCTTCCAGGAGAATCTGCTCCAAGATTTTGCCAGGCACAGAGGTGAGACTGACTGCTCTGTAGTTCCCTGTGTCATCCATTTTCCCCTTCTTGAAAATGGGGGTTATATTTCCCTTTTTCCAGTCATTGGGAACTTCACCTGACTGCCACGATTTCTCAAATATGATGGCCAGCGGCTTCGCAGCTTCATTCGCCAGCTCCTTCAGGACCCGCGGATGGATTTCATCAGGTCCCATGGACTTGTGCATGTTCAGGTTCTTAAGATGGTCTCAAACCAGATTCTCTCCTACAGATCCTACCAGATCCTCTCCTACAGTGGGCCTAAGGTCTTCATTCTCACCGTGCATATAGGTGCCTCTCAGAGTCAGGTCCCAGTTATGCAAAATGCGCATAGGGTGTTTGATTGCTGATGAGACAATGGGTTTTCTGGCACTGGAGCTTCTTGTGATTGCTATTGGTGTTAGTGCTTTTGTGCGTCCCCCTTCAGCCTGCATCTGGGCAGTGGCCCCATGTGATTTATGTGCTGTAGGGCATTTGTCATTTAATTTGTCGTTTCACTTACTTGTTAGGCTACTTTGCTCTTTTGTTGGGGAATTTCTCCCACTGGGAGCGGTTTTCTTGGCCTGTGTATGACAGAGGAAAGGCAGGTATGTTGGCTGCCTTTCTGGAACTTGGCGTGGCTGAATTGGAGGAGGTATACGAGTGGATGTGTTGGAAGGACAGAGCTGTAAAACGAGGGGAAATTGTAATGATAACTGGTAGGAGGATGTGCCAGTGGGATCAGACATCTGTTTCCTTGAAATATGCTGTGTTCTCATGACACTCTTTTTTTCTCTATCAATCATCAGTCCCCTTTTCACAGGAGAGAAATATTTCACATTCATTCATGTTGGAGTGAACTTGTAGAAAGGGGAAGGTGAAAGGGGGACAAGGGGAAAAAGGATGAGTTTTCATATGAAGAGTTTTCATTATCCTTCTCCCCCTTGGGTTTAGAACTGATCCACAAGTTTATCAGGTCAAGAGTAACCAGTGAATATGTTTCACCTGTCAAAACCACTGGTCCTATGTGAGGTGGCTAAAACAGCTCCTGCTTGGGAGAAGGGAGGCATAGAAAGGTGTCTAATAGATTCTGTCCCCTTTAAGACCTTTAGAGTTGATGTTCAGCTAAACTAGCCGTGGGCAAGGCTGCCTAGCTGGAGGGAGGGTCTTGCAACTGATAATGTAAGAACTATGTGTAGGGCTGTGGAGCATCACTAGCAGACTTACGGAAAAACAAGCTTTTGCTCTATGCATACTAAGCAGTGTCTGAAGAGTGAGGCTGCAGCTTGGAAAGTGCAGGCTGCATCCTGATTTGGACTGACTCTGAGCCTTCAAGGCATATTACTTAATCTCTGCATTAGAAGAAGACAGAGTAAACAGACACTGAGAAATGTCTGGCTTTCAAGGTGACATTTGGAGTGATCATGAGGTAAAACTGAGCAATTTCTGAGTAATAAATCAGAAGCATAGAAATTAAACACAAATCAGATGTTGCAGATTTTGAACCTGAAAAGAATCTAAACTCCATGCAGCGCAACTGGTGACATGGACTGAAACTGCAGGGTATACTTTGCTGTTTGGGGGTGGTGAAATGCTTTTGTCAGGTTTAGGACAATGTTTTCATTATCAGTCAGTGCATGAAGGCACTTGTGGATCACTGCTTCTAGGGCAAATAGAGGAGAAATTAAAAGATTTATATGCACACACATATATTAAAGAATCTAATAAATGTGTATATAGCTATATATTTTATAAAACAATATTTTAAGCATATACATTATCTGTGATGCAATGTATATCCTCTGGGCCGAACTAAAATCAGTCTTGTAGTGCAAAGCAGCTTGGCACTTTGTCTGATGTGGGTAATAATTTAAACAAGGTACAACCTGCAGGGTTTTTTGTTACTGGCAAATATGCTTGAAGAGAGTTGCTTGCTCCCAGATGCCCTGTGCTGTAGTGTAAACACCATCATGCCAACAAATGCAGGAACTGAGGATTGCTACAAGCCAGCTTCAGGAAATCCTCTTACAGACCTTTTAAAAGCCTGAAGAAACTTCTGCTTGGGAGTGTCTGTTTACACTCTGCAGTATATGCAGTGGAAAGGGAAATAAATATCCCAGTTTTTTCTATGTACATCAGCAGCTTTATGGCTTTATACAAAACCAGTCTAGTATATTGAACTGGTTGCTGTTGTGAGACTAATAGGCTCCAGAGTTTTGCTGTCAGACACTCAGAGGCTCTGACTACCAAAACAAGACAGCAGTCGTGTTAATACTGTATGGAAGGTTCATTTGTTTACGGCTTAATTAAATCCAGTCCATACGAGTCCTCAGGTCACGCAGAGATTAAGTCCCACTGATAATTTGACCTTTAATCTCTGCCACAGAGGGGTAGTAGCTCACTCCCTCCTTATCTGGGAAGAGAAAGAAGCTCATCAGATAAAGTCTGTGCAGTGCTTTGAAGTTATGAAATACTAAGTGTGATTATTCAGTATTCTTGAGTCTGTTTTATCTCTTCCTGTGGCTGTCATGTAAAGTGGCAGTCTGAATTCTCCTGCTTTAAAAGGATTTACCTCCTTTAGAATTTAGGCATTATTTCTTCTTTAGCATATTCTTTAATTTTCTATACCTTAGAATTAAAACTATAAAAGTTCAGTTCTCTATAGATGAAAGAATAAGCATCTCCTGAGCATGTGTTGATAAGGAGCAGTGAAGAGTACCACTAGGTGTAGAATGAGGTTGAGATGTACGAAGTGCAAGGACCAGAAGTGCTACGAAAGACACTTTCCTCTTCAGAAAGCCACACAATGCAGCTGGGTAGAATCCCTATAGAAATCTCTCTAAAATACCTTAAAAGATTCTTTCTTAAAAATTACATTTTCCTTTTCTTCCCCAGGAGGTGTCACCGGCTGGCTAAAAGAACAGCCAGTACCAAAACAGATTGTTGTTTGATGTGCTACACATACTGTTCTCAGACTTGCATCACACAAGCAAATCCCCAGCTTCCCATGAGCTTGCAGGCAGATATGCCACTGTTTTCAAGTAAATGCTCATTGGACATGAGGGATGAGGCAGTAGGTGAACCAAAAAAAGCCACCTTCAGTGCTGTAGAGAATGAGCTGCTTCTGCTTTTTAAGAACCCAAAGAGTCTGGTTTGTGTCTTCGGTGAAAGGTGCTGTCAGTCTTCTACTGTCTAGTTACAGTGCACAAGCCAGTCCTGTGTTCAGAAAGTCTGGGTTGTTATTATATCAAACCCCAATGCCATTTGCCTTGTTTCATCTCAGATTATCTGTGTAGGTGTAGAAGCACATTCAACTGTTACTGTCAGTTCCTTGCAGTAGTTATTACATCAGGTTTTTAAACAAACCTCTTTCTTTCTCCAATCAGGTCTCTTCTGTGACATCTGGATTTCAGGCAGCAGTTGACTTGCTCAGTCCTTTGGCTTTATTTCGGTTCTCTGCAGTCACCCGAGGAAAGGAATCCCCTTCAGAGGAGAGTGAGTGTTATCTGCCTTTGCCTGTTTCTATTGTATGTCTTTTTGTATGTGGCAGTGGTTTCTAAGTGAAAACTTTACTCAAACCGTTTCAGCAGCAGCACTCTGTTCAGTCATTTAAAACCCACCTTCCTAACTTACGAACAGGGAATTGCAAGTTCCCTTGGACACTGGTCATGTTATTCCCAAAAGAAGATCAGTGTTTTGAAGATTTCTAACTTGCTTTTTCTTCAGGCACTGGCTGCAGCATGGGGTAGGCTGCAGTAAGTGAAGTGATTTAAAAAGATAGATCAAGGCATGAGTAAAGGAGATGTGAGTTTATTCAAGCTGCAAGCCAGGAAACTTCAGGCTGGAGTTTTATTTCTCAAATCAGGACCTGGAGATGTAGGATTTGAGTTGGCCATTTCTCTATATGAAATTTTGTAAGCCAAAGAAAATAAATCAGTGTTTGCCAGGTACACCAGCATTCCTCCTTGCTGCTGCATCAGGAATAGAGTGACATTTCCCACTTTGGAGAAAACCTGCTAAACCCTGCACTGGCAGGAAGATAAGGAAGGTAATTTGGCACAGCCCATTTCTAGCTTAGAAAAATGGCTACTGTGATTTAGCCAGTATGATCCTGAGAGCAGCATCAAGGTATTAGGTGCAATACAGGCATTGATTAAAATAATGAACAAATAAATACCCTGTATCAGTGGGAGTGGGAGGCAGAGGGGCTGGGTTGGGTGAGTGAGAACCAGAGAGAGATTAGTGGTTTTGTCTCTTTCCCCTCAGAAGAAGGGATGTCATGAGCAGAAATCATTTTGGGGTATGTCTTGTATTGGATATTTAAAATGAGCATCTGAGGTGAGAACTTTTCCCTGTACAGCTGATAAATGTTGCTCTATTGTTGTTGTTATATTCTCAAGCTGTGCTTGAAAAAGTATCACTGTGTTTCTCTATCTCTCTTTATTTTTTCCCTTGGTGTTTTTCCCTTCCTTGTTTGTTTTTGTTTAGATCTTCAGAATCTCAAAATCTTGGGCCTGGCATATTTCCTGTACCTTTTCCTGTTTTCCGGCTTGGAGTACACACTGAGTTTCCTCACTCACCAGAGATTCCAGTTCAGCAGGTACAGCATACTTAGAAGATAAATGTGTGTTCTGTCTAGGATAGTTTCCAAAATCTGGATTTAAGGTCTCTTGTATTTAAGAAAGGTTTTCTGAGGTCAGTAAAAACACTCAGAAAGCAACAACTGCTTCAGTCATACTTGGGCTTTGTGGGAAGGATTTATGAAGATACAGACAAACTGTTTACCATGAAAGGAAATAACCTACAACTTCTAATGACCAGAGAAAATCAATACATGAAGCTTCTGAAATAGGTACAGCTGGGTTAGTTCCATTGATTATAATGAAACCTGTTCTTTTCTTGCTCAGAAGAGATCTTCAGTGTCACGACAAATCTTGAAGCTCAAAAAAGGCACATGATGGGGAGGGATAGCTGTGAGATTATATTTGCTCATCAGAGTTGTGCATTGTATACGGTGCACAGTCATTACATCATAGAGTTTGGTTTGCTTTAGTCAAACACTAGAGAAGAAAGAGAACAGAATCCACCAACAGCAGCTCAGCTTGAAATACTTTTCCTGCCAGCTCATCAGAAGATTTCCAGCCAGGAACATGATCTTGCAGCTTGATTCCTTATGTATATCCTTCCATTTGAGTAATTCTCAGGGGTTTGTCTCATTTTTCCCTGTCTGGTTTTCATTACAGTTTGTGGCTTAACTAATGTGTGCACGTCAAGGAAAGGTTTTCTAGTGTATTAAGCTTCTGCACTGTCCAGTCAGGATAGCCATGTAGTGAGATACACAACTTGATGCTAACAGTGCAGGCTGTGAGACAAACAAGCTTGTTACAGAGGTGAGAACTTGGAGTTTAGTAGATGAGAGATGAAAGGGAAATCTGAAGAAATATTTAAGGGTAGAAGGAATGATGTTGCAAGCTTCCTGGTGCAGTACATCATCACCACCATGTCAGTGCCCATATGGTGCCTTGGTGACCTTGATCCAACGCTGCATGAGTGGTGATGATGGGTGTGAGAAACACTTTCACTCTGGAAGCAAACAGCTCCTGGGCACATGGCACAGGGTAATGAATGTGCTGACTCTTTGTGGGCCACCCTAGAAACAACTAAACTGCATCACAACAGTCTAGAGATGATTGCAGCATTTGCCAGCAGCTGTCCCATCCCTATGTAAGGCCTCAGAGGTTTATCTTCTTGGTGTTTGCTTGCCATGGAAACTAATGTCAGCATATTAACTTTGCACTGCTCATGCAAGCACCAAAAAGCATTTTCTCTCATTCAGGAAAGGGTCTGCACTGGACCTGTGAATCCCAGGGTGGAATGCTCTGTGCGTGACTCCATGCTCTGTGTTTTTGCCTCCCTTCTAGCATGCAGCAGGGCAAGATGTTTTTCTTTATTGGAATAACAATGGCTGTGATCCAGGGAGGCTATGCTCGCCGAATCAAGCCAGGAAATGAAATCAGAGCTGTAAAAAGGGTAACAAAACCTAATAATGTGCATTTTTCTTTCCCCCCACAAATCTGATGTGTTAATTTTTCAGTCTAAAGGGTAGTTGGAGGATGTACCTGTAGCTGTGAAATCAAAAGAAGCTTCTGTCTCATTAATCCAGCTAAATGACTTCTCAAGACCCTGGTTATTTGGCACTTCAGTTTAACTAAGCTTTGGAACATTAGTCCTTTCTTACCATACCAGCTGCAGTGCTATTGAAACTTCGAGTTCTTCATATGTAATTGCGGTAAGGAATGAGAGCAGAGTGTCTGTCTGTGCAGGTAAACTGCTGTGAAGATGATGCTTTGTTTCAGTGATTTCTCTTGCAATGCAGACATTGAAACTACTAAAGCTGCTTCAGAGCTGATCTCTTGACTCTATTTCTGGCAAACTATTTTCAGGGACATCTTCAGTCTGGCTATCTCTGTGCTTGACAGGCTTTTTCGCTAGAGTATGTTTCACTGGTGGGCAGGGGGAAATAGGTTCTTCCCCCAGTCTTTAATTTGTGATCATCAGTATTGCGTGTTACAGTGGCACATACCAACATTCAGACCAGAGTTTCACTGACAGAGGTGTGTGTTTCCTTGGCTTGCTTGCCTCTTTCTTCATAGAGATTCTGCTGCTGCTGTACTGGCATGACAGAGAACGGTTTCCTGCAGCTTATACAGCTGTGGGACAAGTAGATACGTCTTGTCATTTACATTTGTGCGGGGAACTCAACAAAGCAGGTCTCTGAACTTTTTTTGGCTGCTTGGTAATAGGTTTGCTTTAACTGTTAAAGCCCCCATCAATTTATTATACAGTATTTTGAGGCCAGTGTGATTTTAACACTAGCAGGGTGAAGCAGGTCACCAAACTGCACTGCACTCCAGGGAATTGACTCAGCCTTTCTTAAGTTATTTCTGCTGGTGAAACCATCTCCACCCTGTTCTCTGGCAGATGTAAGTGATGGGCACGGCACTCACTGTCACATAGGAAGTGTTTCCCTGGGAGTGAAAACTCCTGCTGCTCTGTTAGTGCTGCTTCCTCCGCTGCATCAGCTTCTTCTCTGTGCTCTGCCAACCTGTCACTGCACTGCAGCTCATGCGAACTGTGGGTTGCCCCACTCATTTTTATATATCTTCCTCTTGCCTGCAGTGGGAAGTGTAGTTACCTCCACATACTCAGTTCAGTTGGTCCTGGCTGATGGCTCCTTACAAACACCATATGCACTGTGCAGGAACTCGCTGACCCTGAAGTGCTCCTCCTGTGGATCTCACATGTTTTTGTGGGAGTTCCCCCTTTTGCTGAAGTTATTCTGGCAATTCCTATCACATGTGGCCTCCCTTAGCACAGTTCGAGACATTTGGTGGGAGTGAACATGCAGCAGATCTTAACTTGCTGCAGAAGCTCTGTATGTAAGGGAGACAGCACCGGGGAGCTGAAGTCCAGGCTCTTGGAGGAGACGAAGAATGTTTCTTTCAGGGTTTGAATTCCAGATGCCATTCCCTGCTCCCAGTTTTTCTTCTTCCTGCAGCAGCATGGACTCTGAAAGCTAAAGATAAAATCAGCTCTGCTGAGGAAAAGCAGAGGAGCTGTGGTCCTGTTGGGAGCTGTGTTCCTGTTGCACACAAGCCTTTTGATCGCTTGTGCTAACTCAGGAAATGAAGAGTTAAAACTGGATTTCTGTCCATGAGAGAGGGAGCTGGGCAAAAATCATCTTCCCCTCAGCTGCGGGAAGTCAGTGGTGAGATAACTGCAGCCTGTGGTACAGGGGCCTCACTCCAACGTGTGGTCTGCAAGCATGGGACAGTGACAGGCAACAGCACAGTAAATTACCCTCTTGTGTGGCCATCCAGGTGAATTTGAAATGCCTGCTTGAGAAGAAGGGGCTTTCTGCTTCTAACTTCAATGTAGTCCCATCAGCGGAAGAGAACTGGCAGGAGCCCTAGAGTTAGGCTTCAACAAGCAGGGCTTAAACGTGACTGTGTGACTCATTCCTTTTTGCAGGCTATTATATTGCTGATTCCAGCTTTCCTGCTAATTGGATGGGCTGCAAATGTGGCCATGCTGGGTGCTGGACTGCTGCTGTACTCTTGTGGTGAGCTATTCAAAACACACTGAAAGCTAAGCACAAATAAGTTTTCTTCTCCTATTTATTCACCCCATTAAAAAAGATGAATTTCTAATTTCAAATCTGGAGTGACAGAAAGTTGACGTTTCTGTTTATAAAACAGGGGAGAAATTGTGTCTGGGTTTTTTTTTCCTGATGCTGTTTGTATCACAGGAAGTTGCCATGGTGATACTTGGACGCATCTCCAGTGCTCCTGTTGTCCTCTTGTCTCACTGGAGAGCTCTTGAGGGTGTTGTCTTCCTCTTTTGTCAGACCTAGAAGCAGAATAATCACTGAACAGCTCAGCTCAGGAAAAGAAGGGAGACAGCATGTCTTTTTGTTTGTGGTGGCTGCATTATTCCATAGGCAACAGCCTGAGGAGACCTGTGTGCTCTGAAGCTGGAGGTCAGTGAGGGTGAGGGTGAATCAGCGCTGCCCTGACCACTGTGGCACTGCTCCCCTCCCCTGCACTGCAAGCTGCTGGCTCAGGGGGGGAGCAAAACTCCACCTTGTTTCTGGTACGCATGGAGTGTTTTCAGAGGTGTTTACATCAGTAATATTCTGCCAGTATCTCAGCTGTTATTGAGGGAAGTAAAAGTTGGATTCCCCATCTGAAGTGCCTGTCAGAAAAGAGATTTCAGGTATCCCCAGCGCTGCTAACGTTATAGTAACATAATAGTTAGCAGCATTGGGAATAGCTGAAATCTTTTCAGATAGGCTAGAAGTTTCAGATATGACTAATTGCAAAAGTGGAAGCCTTCTCTTTTGCAAGATACAGCTTGATTTAAGAGTAAACTGTAAACCACAGAAATGCATCTTGTCAGCAGCTTGCTTATCTAGGGACAGTTGTGTGTTTGGCAGGTTTCAAAATCTGCATCTTATCTACAGGTTACCTTGGTGTTGAAAGCCCAGCAGTGAGGAGGATGAGAGGTGTTCATTTTGTCCAGTTGTGCTTCTGAGTTAGGTGCCTCATCTTCCTGGGCTCTGTACGTGGGCAGAAGACCCCATCTCCTCCCCAGTTAAGCCAGATAGAAGTGCCTCTGGAGCAGCCTCTTCTCCCCCTCTCTTCCTCGCTCTACCCCAGAAGTTAAGGTGCTTGCAGTTAAGGCAGCATGTCCATGGTTCCTGCTCTCCTATTGTCCTTCCCTCCCAGGAAAGATTTTTGCTTTGTATGCTTAGAGCCCTTCCTTCTTGGCAGAAAAGGCCCCTATTTCAGTAAGAGGGCAGTGACTGCTGAACAGCTCTTGGCTTTTGTGGCCAAAGATTCTGTAACCTCTTCTTCTTGGACTCAGCTGTCATTTCCAAGACAGAATGTAGCTTCGTCCACCCATGAGCACAGTAAAGCCACACACATTGGGAACTGTGATTCTGTGAACGGCCACCTCACTGTCACTTAAAATGGGAGCAGTTCCCTTTCCCTGCTCCATCTGACAAGACCACTGTGATTTGGAAAACTACCAGTGCTCTGATCTGACCTATCCACCCTGTTCCCGTGGGCTCACAGAGTGAGAGGCACTGATTTGAACCATCTGCTCCGAGCACGCATGGCTGCGGGCTCTCTGTCCAGGTTGGCTTTGAGGGTGTTTTCATTATTGAACTGGATTAAACCTGATGATCCATTGTTGGTGCAGTGCCCCAGAGCTCAGCATGTTTCTGTGCAGTAGTAACGAGTTAGGGCTGTGTGTTTGTCATGTGCTGCTTCTGAGCTCTGCTCTTCACTGTCTCTTTTGTGGATTTTTCCAGCTGCAGCCATTGTTATCCCGTGTTTGTCAGCAGTGGTGTCGGGCTACGGTGAGTGTCTTTCCTGCTTTGAGCAGCAGCCCTTGGCCACATCACTGACCTTTGTGGAGGCTTGGCTGAGGTACAGAACTGACCTCAAGTCCAGTGATGCATCAGCAAGAATACTCAATGGCTTAGGTCCACCTCAGATCCAAGTCTTGGAGCAGTGGCTCTGCTGCTGCTTGGGCTGTGTAAGGGGCCTCTTTCCACCCAGATGCATTCACAAGGACAGCAGCAACGCTGAGTGTTACAGTGAGCTGTTCCACATCGTATGTGTGTAACCCTGAAGCGATAACCACCCTGGCAGGAGTGAGGCTGAAGTCTAGAGAAGAGCTTGTGCTCTGCCCTGCTTCACGTCAGCAGTGATCCATGACCACGGCCATCCTCTGATGGCACTGGGCCATATTGAAGGGAGGCAGAGCCCTGTCTCACTGGAGGTGCTACAGCCTTCAACCCCTTCTGTGAGCATCCTTCAGGGATGTGGAGCTGAGTGAGGCTGCCAGGGATAGGAGGAGGATAGTCTGACCCTGGGAAACTCAGGAACATCCCACAGGGGAGCATAGGAAAGCCTGAAGCGCCCTGTACCTGTTTCTGCAGCTGGCAGCACTCCGTGGTGGACAGGTTCAGAGCTGATGAACAGCAGCCATCTGGTCAGTGGCTGTCAGCACCACACTGTGTGTTGTACTGCATAATGCAGCTTGTTCCAATGATATGGGGAAACATGAAGCAACCTTATTTCTGGTTATGAGCAAAAAGATGAGGAAGCATAGGCAAGGAATTAGTATCATGGGCAAAGGCCACAGCCAGGACTGAGAGAGGGAATGGCCTGGGTTCTCTGAAAGAGACACCAGCCATCACTGACTGCAGGAAAACCATTTCTTCCCAATTCCTTAAAGAAGACCTCGGGAACCTTCTGAGTTGTTCTGGGCTGGCAGCACTGGTTGCTACGTGACCTGGTAAAGCAGCTCTTGCCGGGTGGTGTCTGCAGATGACACCATCCTTTCTTTAGCTCTGCATCAGTTGGTTGCCAGCACCGCAGTGCTTGCTGAGGTGGCTTTGCCCATGGATGTCACCTGTGCATTGCTCCAGTTTGACTTGCATCTATGCTTCTGTGTGTATCCATCGCACCTGTGCCTCCTCAGCAAACCTGGTACAACGTGAAGATTGTTTCTGTTGGTTTTTGGGGGTGTGGTGAGGAAAATGCACTCCATGTCCCTGACCAAGCCCTCTTGACAAGCTCTGCTGGTTTTCCATGAAGCAGCCATGTTTATCTTGGTGGAGGGGGAGTAAATGCAGATTGGGCAGTGAGTGTGGAATGAAAGGAGGGGGAGACCTGTGTGGGAAACACCTCCAAGGGAATAAGGCTCCCAGAGCTAGAGCAGTGCCCCCGTCCCCCCCTCCCAACCCCTCTCTGTTTGTACAGGCTCTGCCAGCCAGAAGGGGCGAGTGATGGGGATCCTGCGGAGCCTGGGCGCCCTGGCCAGAGCCCTGGGACCGATCCTGTCAGCTACTGGTGAGTGTGGACTCCTGCTCCTTCCCCCTTCTGCAAACACCCAGCAGTGCTGGGTCGGAAGGGAAAGGGGAGCCCCATAAAGTTGTCTTTGCAGAAGCAGCGCTAAACCATCTGTAACCTATGAACTAAGGAGTTTCCAGTGCTCAGGGCACACACTGTGCCTTGTGGCCCTGGCTGAGGGCAAAGGAGGCTGTGCCTGAGGAGCACTGGTACCCTCTGAGGGGGTTCAGCCCCCTTACGCTGTTACAGGGACAGAGTAAGAGGAAGCAGCCGTGCAGCACATCAAAGCTGGAACTAGGACCTAACATTAAGTGAGCAAAGCCAGAATCTGTTTCCTGGCTGAATCCATGTGCCAAGCATCCAGCTCGCTCTGGCTCACCAAACCACTGCCCCACAGTGCCTGTGCGGGATGGCTTTCCAAGAGGAAGAGCCTGACTGGGCTTTACAGCAAAGCTGCTCCCAAGCGCATGCTGTGGAAAACAGCAGCTCCAGTTGACACAGGTGCAGAGACTAACAAGGTGAATCTGCTTCCTTTGCAGTTTACTGGCTGGCAGGGGCCGAGGTTTGCTTCAGCCTCTGTGGTGCTTTCTTCCTCGTGCCCTTTGCTTTACTTGGTTCTATAAAAGAGCCGCTGAAGGAGGAGTAGGAAGGAACCACAGAACTATCACTGGCTTCCCAGGACCGCTCCTCGACCTGACTCTCAGCACCCAACTCTGCTGTTCAAAGAGGAAGAGGAGGACTTTGATCTTCTGAAAGGGGCTACTCCATAACCACTCACAGCAACAGCAGACTTCAGGTCTCCTACAGCCCCGCCAAGCTCCGTGTCTCGTGACTTCCCAGCCTGCTTGGCTGGTTTCACAAATAGAAGAACCACTCCCAAACCCGTGGAGTAAAGCACTGAGCCTGTCAGCCAAGCAGGGCTGTCACAGCAGCAGCACGGCCCCTGCTACCACAACTCTGCCAAGCGTGGGTGAAGTTGCAGCGCCCACTGTGCTCGGCTCTGCTCCTGTCCCAGTCCTCAGCCTCCACTGCCATGGACTGACTGATCTGTGCCTGGCTACCAGAGAACAGACCCCAGGGGGCTCACACCAGGTACTGCTGCAGTTGGCACCCTAAGGTGCAGGGGGCCTGGTAACAGCTTGACCACCTGCCTTAAAACATGACAGTCAAACCCAAACAGCAGCTGCAGGCTCCCCCAGCCAGGGAGAGACTGTTTTTAATACACAATTAAATTGAGAGATGTTTTATATTTCTGATTCTCTGTGATGGTTTCTGCTGACCCAGCAGTGTTCCTTTTGCATTATAAATAAACTCTTCCCTCAGACACTGCTCTGCTCAGTGAATCACAGTGAAGACATGACAGCCACCTCACCCTGGCAAAGCCCTGTGGGGACCAGAACTCCCTGCAGTGCCCAGTACCTCCTGGGGTACCCTCCCTCCAGTGGGGCCACCTGGGTGCTGCCCCAGGATGAGCCCTGCACCCAGTGGGAATACATTAAAGCAACCATTAATCAACACATTAACCACTGAAAGAAAAAGGGACAAATTAAACCCGACAGGCTACAGCTGTAGAATAAAACTGCATAAAGGTTTGAAAGCAGAGCATGAAGGTTTTAAGACTTTTATTTGTGAGTAGAACTTAATGATACAAGAGAAAGAAAAATACAGGACTTTATTCTACCCCGAAGTGTGTAACCATAGCATACATGACTACATTTCATACTGTAATACAAAGAATTAAAAGAACAAACTACAAAATTAGAAATTAAAGAGTCATTGCATACATGGTCGAGAGAAATGGAGGGACACCATTAAAGAACTGAAACATACAGCAATTAGTCACTGAATTAGGACCCTGCGCTAGAACACGATTCAGCAAAGTGAGCGCTGCACTCTTAGAGTGGGCAGAAGGGACACAAGGTTCAAGCACACGTGAAGCCGCTGCGGCCCTGGGCAGTCACCGGCCTTACTTTGGCACCGACCCCACTTCCAAGTCTCTTTTCCACACCCAAAGCTCCCATTTCCCCTTCCATCTCCCAGCCTGAGCTGTGCCCCTGCTCTGCCGCAGCAGCGTAAGGCATTAGTTTGCTGCTATTTTACCAACTGCAACGTTTGCTATTGTTCTAAGAGGTGAGAGCCACATCCCATTTTCAACAGCCGCTTGCCGTGAGTCAGCGTGTTGCCCTCTCCTCGCAGGGCTCTCAGCGTTTGCTGCTGCTGAACCAGAAACACTGACATGAGGAACCGAACGGGTTCCAGCCCTCCCTATCCCACCTGGCACTACTGTTAGGACGGGTGACAGACAGAAGCATGGCAGTGACTGGGAAATAGTGAATTCAGTGGCAAAAAGTGGTTTTCTTTACCATGCTACATATTAAACAAACATTTATAGCAAACTGTGAAAATACACCTTTTAAGGTTACTTGGGGTTTCTGTACTTCACTGCTGGCAACAAAAATAAAATATTAAAGAAACACCAGTTTTTGTAAGTGAAAATAATTCATATAAAACAAGGTTACCTATTCAGTGTAACGCATTTACATTGATATCATGGGAAGAACACACACGAAAGGCTGCAAGCAGGGTTTACGTGCAGCAGCCCTGCACCCAAACCCTCTGCTAAGGCCCAAACCAGCAGCCCAGGCTTCACATCACCACTGTGAAACCTCCCAGACACTTGCAGTACAGTTACTTTTAACCCAGGACACTGTTCTAACAGCCTAATCACCATGTGAGCAATCCATAGGGAGGCAAGACTCAAAGTCATGTTTCCCTTAAACTGCATTTGCTAGGAAGTAGGATTGGGCTCTTAATGCACAACTGTGAGCAGAACACACCATGGTCACTTCAGTCCTGGACAGCAAAGATGACTTCACGAGCCAGTCAGAAAATAAACACCTTTGTTTTGTTACAATGGTGAGAGGGGAGAGAGAGGAAGGAATGGATTAGCCTCAAAGCTTGACTAAAACAGGGTTTGTGAGCATGTACTCACATGTCAGTTCAAGAACACCTCCCCTCCAGAGCGTCACTGCAATAGCATCCGCTCAAGAAGTCAGCATTTAAAAGGAAGCTTACTTGTGACTTGGAACAGAACATGGGAGAAGAACGCTCCTTGGTATAAGCCATGTGTGGTTTATTTGTAATTGTGAACATCTCTTTATTCTTTCGTAAAGCAGCGCAGGCTTTAAATCAAAAACAGCGGTTCGATGCCTTCCACATGGAAGTCATTCACATTTGACTCCAAATTCGGGATCAGATCTGCGGTAGCTGCTGAAAACACAGGATTAGCACCTTTTTGGCCATTAGTTTCTGGTTATAACCTCAAACAATCAAGCCATAACTCGAGGGGCTGGTTGGGTTACTTGTTGCATTCATTTACATAAGTACGACAAAACACTCGGTACGATCTGGTACATTCTAGTGGTTAATGGAGGTGGGAATGACAGTGTTTCTGCAGTGTGTTTGGCCTTTAGGAGTCACTCTTCTTTTTGCTCTTCTTCAGGAAGGAAGGAGTGCGAAACTTCTTTTTCTTTTTCGATGGAGACTTCCCTGGAGATTCATCACTACCTGCATCAGCCGCCGGCCCCTCCTCCGTGGTTGGTGTCACTGGCTCTTCAGCAGGTTGAGGCTGGGGTTCCTTGGTTTCCACTGCAGGTGATTCCGTTTGGCTTTTGGGCACATCTTCCTCACACCTCCCTTCCTCCTTCCCTAAGGGAGGGAAGCTGAGTGCTTCTGAAGGCTCATCAGGGGTGAGATCTGGGAGGGTTTGCTTGAAAGTTGCAGCGTCACTGTCATCTTTGTAAGTCTGGTCCTGCTGTCTCTCTGGTGGAGGGACACACAACGACACAGTTAGTTTTACCTGAGTGTCCCTGGAGCACAGAAGCGAAGTGAGTTGATGGTGAACGCGCTCTATAAAAAAAAAAATCTAAGATATACTTTGCAGAAAAGCCTTTGTAATAGGTCTGGTTTCATTTCGCTTTGCGCACAGAGGTACAAACAAGATACTCAAATGTTCTCTTTGTCTTTAAGCTTCTGACCACAGAACAGATAAAGCCAAATTCCATCCTGTGGATGTAAACCAGCGAGAAACCGACTGTTTCAGCTCTTTCATGTTTTACGTGTATGGTACAGGAGGTTTTAGGGCAGTAAGCAGGAGCTGAACCTGCTCTCCTGGCATTGAGGAAATTCATCATGAAATCCCAAATCTCAAGTCTTTTTTCTTTTGGTGGAATAAAACTAATTGATGGTTTGCAGACAAACAAATCCACTGATTTCTAAAGGGCTGGCTTGCCAATTTGTAATCAAAATGCTTGGATTTTTATAACCTTGTCCCATGAGATCTAACAGCTGCTTCAGAATATGATCTCCTATCACAAAGGCTTCACTTGTTTCACAAGGTATGAGTATATATTATGGATACCTGCAAGTTAAATCCATGGGGTTTATCAAATTAAATGAGCTCAGCAGGTTATGCAGTAACAGCTTTTGTTCTTAATGTATGTGATGTCTAACAGCAAAATTGACCCCTGTAAAAGGAACATCAAAAACCTGGTGCCAACTTCATGTCCAAAGGTGAACTTCACCACTGCTCCCTCAACAGTAACATTTCCCTCCTTCACCACTACGCTTTAGAGATGTTCTGTTTACAGCTCCCCTTTGTACATAACACATTTAACAACCTGCCGTTTTTAGAGGTCCCTGCAATGCTCGTCACTGCGCTGGAACCAAGAAGGATCTCGTCAGCTGTGTCAAATATACCCCCACTGATGTTACGTAAGGAGGAATTCAGAACAAAATCCAGGCCATGCTCATTGTAAGGCACAAAAGGCAACTATTTCTTTTTCCCCTTTTAAAATCTTGTTCATTTTAATTTGAAAAGGCTGAAGGCTTTCATAAGAATTTACAGAAAATAGCTGATACTTTCCCGTTTTTCCTATGGAAATGATGAGTGTTCTTTTTATTTCTGCCAGATGGGAGTGATAATCCTCTAACATATTTTAGAGGGCTTTGTTCTGTGAATACCTGCTAGAAAACCAATATGTCTTGCCTAGAGCACTATGAGCTTCTAATAGGTTAAATCAACAGCACACACTAGTATTCAGTGCCAAACACTCGGAATGCACGAGTTAGCAGTTTAAAAGTTAAAATGCAGGCAGGACTTAGAGAAAGAAGAGAAAAAGCCATTATGTCCAATGCAAGCTGCCCCCTGAACTCTGGTTTAACCCGAGTCTGTGATGCACAAACCTGTAAGAAGCACCACCTACAATTTGCTCTTTTGGGATCTCATTTTACTTTTCAGGAATTAACTGAAGCCTTGCTGATGTCTTCTCCCTATGATCCAGGGACAAGATGCCTGTGCCAGGGGAATTTAGACTGGACTTGAGGGAACATGTCTTTACCGACAGGTCAAACCCTGGAGGAGGCTCCCTAGAGAGGTGGTCCATGCCCCAAGCCTGTCAGTTTAGGAGGCATTAGGACAATGCCCTTTTGCTCAGCCCTGTCATGGTCAGGCAGTTGGACTAGATCACTGTTACTGGTCCCTTCCAACTGAAATAGTCTTCTCTATTCATTAGCTGGCCCAATTGTTACAGAGCAGGCACCATGTTATACTGCCAGTCAGTTTCATGGTATCTTTTTAAAATAACTTTAAAAGAAAGTTTTAAACAAAGTCTAAAAAAAGGGGATTATAAATTCTTAAAATGAAAGAACAGGAAGCTACGGGCATTTGCCAGTTGGCCTAAGCCTTGGATAAATGTAAGCGGGTTTATAACTCATTAATCAGGACTGCTATCCTTCCCAGTCTGTCAAATTACCATCAGCTTTCCTAAACAGATTAGCATTATGCTGGAATCAAACAAACATCTGTTTACCCAGCTCACTAAGGGCAGTATTTTACCAGAACTGGGTGGATTCACAAATTCCACATTTGGTAAAGACAGCATGCAGTATGCAAACATCTTAGTTCTTTTTGATGGATTTCAGTAATGGAACTAGGAAGGTTTAAGAATGCATCTTGCTGCAGGACCTATTTACGGTTTAAGAACTCAGCAGTACCTCAAAACTTCTGAGGCTTTTTAGAACACTCATGCCTAGATCTATGCTCCTGCTTTCTATATACTGTGACATAAGAGTTTGAAAAGTAACATTAATACTGGTGAGTGTTTACAATTCACATTATTTATGAAGAATAAAGGTTTATGTTTTTTCCAACACAAACATGTGGACAAACATACAAACTAGGCCATAACTGAGTTAACACAGAACAGCTTGCTGACTTCAGCTCCGCTTAATAGAGGAAAATATGAGGTAAAAAGGTTGAGAAGCAGTTCTATACAGAGACCACTGTCATTCAACAGAACTTCTGCCAACCAAAGTCATCATGGGCGTGAACTTCCAGTTACTCTCTAAAATGAGCTTTGTATGTTTGTCCTGCAAAACTTAACACAACTACAAGAGTTTGTGGAGCATGATTCTCAAATTGAAAGACTCTTCAGGTTTTAGAACCTTACTTGTAACACCACAGGTGTCTATGCTGTAGTTGGACTTTTGTAACGACAACAAACACGCTGACTTTCAGATATAACAGGACATACAAATGGAGGGGGCCAAACATAATTATTATTTCAAAGTATAATCTGAGGTAGCCCTGCAGAGCCAGCTGAAACAGATGTCGAAGTTGCTGCCACTATGTTCTTGCTGTTATGCCTTTGTTGGAATTTGGATTTGTCTACAGCTGACCCATATAACACTGGAGTAGTTCCATATCCCCTCTGTGCAGAAGTCTGCTGGGTAAGTTTCAGTCAATGCCAGTGGTAACACTTTTGCACTGGAACAGATAAGGAACTTTCTTCCATGTCACTACCAGGTCCATACCAGGTTGTACAGGCAGCAGCAAACTGCTGGGGCAGAAACTCCCAGATCTGTTTCAGCTGTATCTGAAAGACAACTTCAGACTATTCCTTTTTAAGCTGAGGAACTGGACACACAGATATGGAAACACATAATGTCACTTCCAGTCTCTCTCGAAGGGGGAGTGCATTTTCACATCAGATCTGTAACTACCTAGAATTTCAGGAAGCCAACAACTCAAGACATCCGTGTCTCAACTGAAAGAGCCTGCTTAAGAAAAAAAAAGCAAAACCAACAACCCCTTAGTAAACAAAGATGCAGGAGTGAAGCAAAGCACATAAGCAGGTCAGAGTATGGAATGATACTTACTATGGTAACAGGTACTCTTTAGCATATCCATCTCCTGTTTGTAACGCAGCCACAAGAAGAAAAAAGCACAAGTAGAGAATCTATGCATTCATCACAGCCATTGTGTTAAATTAAAAGAATGGTTGCAACCATTCTTATCGAAAACAGGATGAGATGAGGTACTGAATGGAAGACTAACAGACACGTGGTATGTCCAATGCACAAGGTAAAGGAAACAAGACAAAAATTAGATTACACCTCTTCAAGATTGTTATTTTATCC